CCCCCTTGTTGCTGTATAGCAGCTAACATTTTCACCTTTCAAGAGGGTCATCGGAAGATGGCCTTTCTTGCTATTTTTTTTCTTTTTTTCGATTTTTCAGTAGTTACTCTTTCCTGACCAAATATAAAAAAGGTCGTCTTGTAAGCTTGATGGTGGGCAACTACTTATGGTTTCGATCATGCACGTAGAAGACGTGAGTTCGAATTTGGTACAATTTTTGCCGAACATTTCCGTCTTTCTGCTGGTACAGGTGGTGTCAAACAGCCCACCTCCCGAATGACCTAAATGATGTTGATACCGGCGTAAAAATTCTACATCTACTTTTTTTCTTCTTCTGAAACCCGAGTTTGTGATGCAGAAGTTAAGGTTCTTCACTTTTGAACGAAGAAGATGTGAGTTTGATTCTCACATTTGGAAGTCGAGAGTGGCGAGCGTGTCCCTCTTGTGCTGAACTGCCGCATCCAAATAAGCCTAACTAAAGAAGCGTTTCCATCTGCTGCTGTCTCCTGGGACGACGGGTTGGACCCTGGTAGGCAGGGTCGAAGCAGGAAGGCAGACGCAGTTCGTCCATAGAGCACGGTCGCGCAGTGCCGCCCAAAATGTTTTAATGTTCTGTTACGTAAAGCACCTACAATAATAAAATAAAAGACGCCAGAAACAAAAACTAGCCAAATATTATATCAAAACAAAGTCCTCGGTTGCGCCGTAACTGTCATTTTTATGTCTATAGCGCCGTAAAACATCTACTATGCCAAGCCTAAGTTCATGCGCTGTATCTAAACATAACAGGATATTCAACAGTGGAAACATAACCTATAAATCGCTCTTTGGGATAAACCAAGAGATGACGACACTCTTAGAGAGTTTGGCAGTACATTGACATTAATAAGACGGCACATCTCAAATGTGCTCCTGTCGAATAGTGTCGAAACATAGCCCACAGTAAGCAGTCTAAAAATAAACGCGATAGATTGTGCACTATTCCATACCAAAAATATGTGCACCCCGGAGCAATCCAGCGGCGTGCTCAAAGGAATTGTGATTGGTTCATTGTCTTGCCGCTATTTTTTAAGTGACCCTGTGACCGTGAACCAGAGGGAGGTGAACGTGACATACTTAAGTCATCGTCCTAAGAGTTGTGCTTTTGAACGGTTTTGTAGTGGAGTGGTGAAAGGTATTACTTGAGTGTTCCGTTCTAATGCAGGATGAATGAATTTACGTTTAGCTAACAAACAGATTTAGTTCTAGAAGTCAAAGCCACAAGTAAAAAGAATGAAAATAGAATCACAAGGTTCTCCCTCACCAACCCAAAGATCCTAAAATTATACACCGTCTCATTAATTTACCATACCCTTGACTATCTTCAACCTAAGATAGCTTAATTGTGCACACCCACTTTTTTAGACCCACGAGCGCCCCTGCAGGAAGGGTTTTTCCTTGTCGAGGCGGGAGACGATTAGCTGACCCCTGAACCATCGTTTACGTTGGTGGCTGCCACTGGCCCTGCGTGATGTTGGGTCAGAGCTGACAATGTTGTGCGGATTCATTCGAGACTCACTTAGTAAGACTTGCTGATGTACATGGTGATCCAAAAAAACCCCAACAACTTTACAACTTGTTTTGTAAATATCTTCCTCCATGCTGAAATTTTGCGTTTCAGATTTGAATATAACGTTTGGGAGCCAAAAGGAATTTATCTGATATGTATTTTTGATAAGTCCATTGAATGGTTTTGTTCTATATAGCGCATTAAAAAAACAACCCATTTTCAACCTTGTCGCCATTTTCATAGCATGACGCACCAGTTCGCATTAGGCATACCACTGAAAGTTGCAACAATCGCGCCATATTGCAATCTACAGCAGTCTAACAAGTCAAAAGAAGTCTGCAGATATTATGTTTCCCAAATTTTGTTTGCCAGCTGAGATCATGGCTACGTTTAGTAAAGAGCAGATAGCTTTTTGTATTGAGCATTACCTCCCCACAAACTCATCGTCCCTGACATTTCGAAAGTTCTGCGCACGGCATGGAGAGAATGCTTAGGTGCCTCAAGACCTTTGGTGTCATGAGTAGAGACGTTCCGTCAGTTTGGACCTATAACGAATCAGAACTAAAAATGTCTTTAAAAAATGACCACTTTAGGTCGAACACGCACCATACCAGCCCTTAAAACGTCACCAGAGTGCAGATTTCAGTAGCTGAGTCACATGAGACGTCTGTCCGTGGACGATCTGCAGCTAGGACCTTTCCACACCTCAACAGTCTGCATTCTCATGGCAGATTTCAACCTACGACTATACCATGTTCATCTTCGCTAGGCCGAGATGACATGGATCAGAGCATGACAATGTGTTCATGATTCCTCGATTGTCTTGTAAAGAGGGATCATTTCCTCGATGACATTTGGTTTAGTGCAAAGCCCATTTTCACCCTGCGGGGTATATTATGGTAACTCCATAAATGCTGTCTCTTGGGTATCCCACTCTATTGTCTCTAGAAGCCACTTCTTAGTGAACATGTACAGTGTATGTGGATTTATAAACTCATGGTTTAGCAGGTCCTTGTGTTAGGGCGCCACTTTAACATTTCGAACGACGCGTTAAAAATTTGTCAAGTCCAAAGAAGGGAATGTGGACCACTGCTTCTAGGAATTTCAGAATGAAATCATTAGGCTTTTAAAACTCTGTAAAAGAAATTAAATATTGTTTAAATGTCACAGGGATGAAAAATTAATGTCACAGAGAAAATAAAGAAAAATGTCAACTAATCTTTTCACGACTTCCTTTACAAGACTTTTAAACATTGGTGAACTTTGCGTTTTGGGTTGCTTTTTTCTTTTAGCCGTTTCCATTTTCAAAACAAGTTTCTTTTCCGTGGATTTTATATCAAACAAATTCCTTTTGAATGAATTATGTCTGTTCCAAATTACAGCATTCTAGAACAATTTTGGCGCGAAACATTCAGAAAAAAAGTTGTAAAGTTTTTTTTGGATCACCCTGTATGTACATGGTCGGGGTACCGGTACGGTTATGAGGGTGAAAAGTAGGCTGAGGACCCCTGCCAAAATTATGCTTTGTGCTACGAAGGGTTCGCCAACAACCTTCGAAAATGTTAATAGTAATAGTGTTGCTTTAAACACGTAAATTAATGCTTTTAAAGCTGATTTTAAAAACTATGCATTTTTAATTACTCTAACCAATCACTCTGACAAGTAAAATAAAACCAAGATGTGCTGTGAATCAACGTGAAGACAACAAACGTGTGCTCCACGCGCTAGTATGACATTATAATGCAGTTGCAAGTGCGTGAAACTTTTATCAAAATGAAGGCTTACTGTTTTCGAGGAAATATGAAGTGGTTAAGTTTTGTTGAGGGTGGTCTACCCTTATATCTGTGCCTTCAATTTCGATATTCTTTGCGTAGATCACACCCTCTTTGCTCCCCCCCCCCCCAGGGGATGTCCTGACTGGTCGCAACAACTGACAGTTGACTACACACACTCTGTGGCATGAAGTGAGGTATTTTCTAAAAGCTTTTCACGGTTCCTCAAAATAGATTCTGTTTACGAATTTCACAAAAAAGTTGTCTTACTGACTTATTCTCGAAACGAATTTCACAAAATAGTCAAGTCGCACAGACCTATTTTGCTGAAAGCTCAGCAGCGTCTGTGGTGTAGCGATTATTCGCTTCTCTGTCGCTAGGCCCTAGCTGTCGTTTATTTACTCTTTTGAAGTCAAAAGCATTTCCAAACCTGATATTTTGAAAGTAACTACGTAAAACACTTCATAAAAATATGTGGACGTTTGCTGGAGCATCATAGGCTGGCACAGGACTAGTCAGGCCAAGAAATAATGATTGTATGTCGTGTATCCCATCATTTCAAATTTATCAAGAAATCTCTCCAAGCATTTATTCATGGGAAACAACTCGCCTGGTCAATTTGGAGGCCTCGGCTATTGTATTTGTAGCGGTTATTTCCCTGCCTTCGGTGAAGCGTAAAATCTTATTGATTGCTTCCCTTGTTCCAATGAGCTGCCAGAATCCAGAACCGGAAGTCTTTTACAATCATGTTCATAGATTGTGTTGGGCGAGTGTCCGACTGTGGAAGTGTAAGCACTGGAACGAGGTAGATCAAGATATCAGTTGCGTATTTTACATACATAATACTTTGTTTGTGATCGCATTGAAGGAGTGTGTAAATCGTAATTCATTGCTTTTGTTGATGTACCGGCGGCCAGGAAGATCGCAGGAACCCGAATTGCAGGAAGAGAAAGAAGGTAGGTGGACCCAACAGATTCCCCGCTCTGGATTCTGTTCTACTTTTCCTCTTGCCTCTCTCTGCCTCTCGTTCTGGCCTCTTGTTTGCTTACAAACGTCCTTAGCATCCCCCGTCTATACTGTCCTGGGTACCCACACTTTTTGAGCCTTGCGTTCTTTTCTTTTGTTACAGAATTTGTATTTGGCGTTATATCAATGATCTAGAGTCTAGATTCTAGATCTGGAATCTAGAGATCTCTAGATTCTAGGTCTGAGTTTGTTTTCTGTTTTTGTTGTTGTTTTCTAATTGCGTTGGCTGCTGTGTTCTTTGTGAGAACGGAACCAGAAGAGAAACAACCCTAGCCTAGCAGATCTAGATCTAGAACTAATATCTAGATCTAGAGATCTAGTCTAGATCTAGATTCTAGATCTAGATTTAAATCTAATAGATCTGTATTTAACCGTTGATTATATAATAATAATATATCTATAGAAATCTAGTACAGTAGTCATGCTCCCCATGAGGGTTAACAACAGTTGTATCTTATTATTATAAGATGTTACTCTGATTTTATTAGTGTTTATGTCGGGGTAGAAGTCTTTCTCGTTGTGTTTGGGTCTATTTTTTTAGGTTTTTATTTTTAGCTTTGGGTCTGACAAGGTTGTAGGTATGTAGGCCCCTAATTATATTATCACGAAAAGAGTAACAAGAGTGTAATGTTGTTGACAATGGCCCCAGTTATAAATTGCTCTGAGATAGGTGGTTCTCTGACCTTTGTTTTGAAGTCCTTCCGTTCCCAATAAAATTTGGTCTGTTATTTAGATGTGTCGGTTAAGAATGCCATTATGTTTTTCCTGTAGGCCTACTCTTCAGAAGGTAATACCGCAGCGTTGCGGTCCCGGAAGTCGAGTAAAAAAGCTGACTGAGTTGCCAGAGAGAAAAGACCGATTTAAGACTATTTTTCCACACTATTTTAATGTTTTTAAAGTGTGCTGAGAGCAATTTTGACTTTAAAAACTGTCACAAACCATTATTTTGGAGTGTTTAGCAGGGGGAGACCCCCCTCCAACCCCACCCTTATTTTACACGATCCGTTTTTGTTTTAAAAATTGTGTTTTGGCTATTTTAATGTGCAGTTTGGCATTGTATGCATTGAAAATCTGGCCAATATCGTCACCCGGGAGCCAGTGGCGGTGGGTAGTGAAGGGCTCACAGGCTTTCAACCCCTCCCCACCCACCACCCCCAACTCTATCCCAAAGTAAATGAAAGTTTCTCCTTCATAAAAAGCAGTTGAAACCGATATAACTATGACCGCACGCAATGAACACAGAGTGATCAACTTGGCGGTAAAATTTGCTCGTTTATTCAATTACTGTTGTCACCGCTTACAACTATAGTAACCCAGCAGCCAATCAAATGTCTTTAGGGCTCAGCAAAGGATGATCCCTTTCCCACGCACCTTCTTTAATGAAATTCTTCTTGTAAAAAAGGTAAAAGACTGGAAAAAAGAACACTGTACTGAATGCTCACACTCTCCTAGCCCTGACAATGAGGTGAAAGTTTACGATACACTTTCCCCCAGTGATACAGATACCTACGCTCTCATTGGTTCTTTGTTGGGTGCATTCAACTTTCTCGACAACACAGCCTAATCCAGCTCATAGAAGTAATATGTTTGAAGTACTGTGTGTGTGCATATTTTGCGTCTGTGTCGCTGAGATTTAACAGTTTTATAAATCGGGTCGAACTATTTTTAAGGTGACTTTTTCATCACATGAAAATAAATTACAGTAGAGGAAATTTGGAAGTGAAACGGCTTCGTCCCCACCATCAACAAAAATTTAACTGAGAACAAAGAGATGGAAGACAAAGGTGACTTTTCTCGTTTGAATGATTCTCAAAATGCCGTGGCTCACAGTGACTATAGAGAAATCATCACTGTTTAGTTCTTTATTGCTTGCTATTTGGTGGGCAAGAACTGGAAGCAACCTTTATCTAAGCCCCACCCAAATTTTGATCCGCCCACCGCCAATGCTGAGAGCATGATTTTACTGTATCCAACCATCAACAAAGAACCGGGACCGCATCACTGCGGTATTTCCCTTCGGAACATGGGTAATGTTTACTTCTGATGTAAACTTTCATTAAAAAAATTTTGATTTGCTTCATGTCATACTGTTAGGCCTATCTCTACTACTTCACCTCAATTGCAGCAGTAGGTTGCACTACTGCATGTTATGAGACCTCTATTATCTGACTTAGCATGGATGTGATTAGGTGAAGTGTTTCTTTTTTATTCCTGGTATCGGTTATGTTCAAAAAGTTAAAAGGTTTTTATTTTGATCAAACTTTAAGGTCTATCATAGTGTTACTAGAATTCTACTCTCTCAAGGAGAATGCGGACATAGTGGAAATAAGACCAATTTTTTTCTCTGGCGAAAGTTTTTGCTGAGAATAGTATGGCATTTTGTTGTTTTGGTCTAGAATAGAAATATAGCTTTGAAAAAATGGCTATTTTATTTTTTTACTACAAATTAAATTCAATTGAGAATTGTTTTTGTTTAAATTTCAATGTTAACCACTTGTTAACACTGCTTCGCCTAAGAACTAGTCTGTCCAAAGTCCCTCTTTACTTAAGTAGGCTTTTGACAAAATAGTTCTGAGGTGATGAGTTAGGCTAGTTGTAATATTTTTGTTTGTCATGGCAGAATAAAGGAGGACACATCTGATAGTTCCTTTCATTCTTTCCGTACCATCTGTTGTTTTGGTCTCTGTCTTTTTTTCTTTTTTATGTGCTCGAAATGACCATTTTTATATGAATCTCAATGTGCTTCTCTTTTCTCAATCAAACAAAATGACCAAGGACAGGAGGTTATAGTGAACTTGTTGGCAAATATGTACAGGATATTATGAAACTTGATTGATATTATGATCGCTTTTAATGACAAGCGGGGTAACCCTGATTTCGGAGGTTTCCAGAAATCTTGACCTACACCAAAAGTGAACATTGCCCTACCTATAGGAGAAGTTTGGTTTTATTGGTGTGTATATTTGTTTGGTTATAGAGAAAATTCTCCTTGTCTTTTAAAGAAACTGAACAAGGAGCAAAAACTTTACCTTCGATTTTCTCAAAACAGCATTTTTCGGGATAGCCCCATCGTGCTTAAAAGCGACCATATATATAAGTGAGGACTTACATTTCAGTATGGTATTATGAGGGCAGATAGAGAATTATTGAGTGTCAGAAGTATTATCCCAACCATTTTTAATTAAGTGACCGAGGTTTTGGTGTGTGTAAATTTAAAGTGTTAAATGAGACAAGCAGAGGTTGACAGCATCAGCATCAAGAATGTCTTTCTCACTCTGGATCAGAGGATAGGTCATGAATGAACACTTTCCACATTTTCCTATTCCTGGACTAGCCTCTGGGTATTTTTCCATGTCTTCCCTCTTTTCTCTACACCATTCTCTGTGGTTCTTCTCCAGGTCCCTCGGGGCCTTCCCCTTGATCTCTTGCCCTGGGGATTCCAATCCAACACTTTTTTTGTTTTTCTGCTTCTTGGCTTCCTGAGAGTATGCGGGTGGTTGGCAGGTGCTCTTGTGTAATTCGTCCTTATCTCTCCTTCTTCTTTTTTTTATGTTACTCTCTTGTAACACCTGTAATCTTTGGCACTTAATATGACCTTATTGTGGTGCAAGGGCCATAAACTCTTACTAAAACTATTTTTAAAAAGCATGTCGTCTAATCCGTTGCTACCACCTTCTTCCCACCTGTTGTCCGACTGGGCTCTGTCTTGTTCTCCTTAACACTTCCTCGTTGGTGACCCTGTCTTTCCATCTGATTCTGGGTAACTTTCTTGGATCTATTTGTACAAGTCTGAGGTGTGTTCCATGTACATATCTTTTGGAAGAGCTCAATTGTTCTAGAACATTACCTGTTCAAAGGTGTAAAGTGAAAAATAGCTCTCATTGTAGAAGAAGGTATTGTTTGTGTGTGATTTCTTCTGAGGTGAAGAGCCGGTTATATGAAAAAAATCGACAGTGTTTTATATATAACTGCAGTGGCAAGGAAATACAGTTTTTAAAAAATTTTAATTTTTAATTCCTCTGAAGCACCCGTGTTTTGTGTTGAAAGTTGTTGTGTCAGTGTATCATTATGCCTGAGGAGTTTTAAAATGATGTTCAAGTTTCAAATTACCTTCACTTTTTACACAATTGCACTTGCAAAGCTGAGGGATCCAGCAAGGCCTTTATAATTGATGAGTTATGCAGATACATGATATATGTGTATTATATGATTTATAAAAGGAGAGGTTTAAACCTTGTTTTTATTTTCGTGCATGTTTAATAATATGAGATCAGCATAGAGGCGCTCTTGAAAAAACATTATGAGCAACTCTTCTTGACCGTGCTTTGCTGGTTTTCTTTGAAACAAGGAAAGTAAACTTTTGGGAATCGGGCTGAATCATGACGGCCTCAGGTGAAAGAAATCGCAACATCGAGTAATTCTCCTTTCTTGATCTTGACTGAGCTTTGGTATGGTCTGGAACTGGAAGTGGAATGCTGTACCAGTCTTTTCTAATTTGGTGATGCATCTATCTATGAGAGTCTATCTTATATGTTAAAATGTGAAATATTAAAAGTGTGTGAAATACAAAATTAAAAGTACCATGATATCTCTCAGATTTCGTTCCAAGCTCTCTCTCTCTCTCTCTCTCCCTCTCTCTCTCTCTCTCTCTCTCTCTCTCTCTCTCTCTCTCTCTCTCTCTCTCTCTCTCTCTCTCTCTCTCTCTCTCTCTCTCTCCCTCTCTCTCTTCTATTGTTTCCCTCAGTTGTTTCTGTCTTTCCTGTTTTTCCTCTGCGCTAAACTACCGTTATTTTGATGTTTTTGTTTTTGAAAAAGTGTTGTTCATTTCTTCTCCAAGTGTCGGATGTCTGGACTGAAGAATCTGTTCGTAAACTTATATTCTAGTTATAAGGTCCTAGCTTGGAAATTTGATGGGATTATATTTAATAAA